TTAATTGAGGTTAGTGCCATTTTGCCTTAAAGTACAGTATTTCTCACGTGGCTGTCATGAGTGATATTGCTATGACCTCTGAATCTAGTTTAGCAAAACCAGGCTTGCATAGTCACTACAGCTCCTTACATCTGTGTGCTGTACTTAAGCGCTCTTCTGAGACACAGGAGTTGTGAAAGGAGGAAATTGGTCCACACAGAATCATAGGGATTTAGGGACTTTCATACCAAGTCAGCATTTGCAGGGACTTCCAGCTGCCTAGATTCTTCTTTGAGTTGCTTACCCTGAGTCACCATTTTTATGCACTATCTAATAGATTTTGCCTGAATTTTTTGTGGCAAGTCAAGCTTGTAAAGGTCAGTATCGACAGCAGAGACTTCTGCCATTTGTACTGCTGAAGCAATTTCATTATGGTACATTATGCTCTCTTCCAAGGGAGCAACTGCTGGGCTGGGGTGTGACAATTCTTGGCTGAAACATTAGTAGCGTAATTTTATTATGCTACTCTGTAGCATAACAAAGTAGCGTGCTTCATGAATCTAAACACAGAAAGCCAAATGCCTCCATCTGGGCCACTTAATAATAATCTTCTATAGATATAAACCTTCAGTACTAAACTTGGTGCTGCTGGTGTTTGACTCCGTGGTCTGGCCTTGCAGACAACTGCTGTAGGCAGCCTCTGCACTGGCAGTATGGAACAGTCCTCCTTAGATGCAATCCAAAGCCCAGGAAAGGTGATAGGGATATTTCCAGTTGACTCTCAGTGGGCTATGGGTCCAGTACAAAGTTAAGCTTTATGTGTCATTGATGAATTTATATGTAAAAAGAGCCAGTGCCTCTGCTGCTTCTTGGAAAGTGAGAGAGGGTACAGTTCTCAGCTTTTACAAAGAGAAGATATAGAGTGTCTGAACAGCTCTGAGGTGTCTGACTTTCCTTCTGAGAGCTGAGGGTTCAGCAGCCTGCTAGTTTGGTCCCTAATTGACAGCACATTTTGACTCTGTGCTTAATCATGGTTGCTGACTGAAGTAATTTAATCAAGGAACTGATTGGGGCAATTTGGAGTAGGCCCCACTGGTGAATATCGGTAGTTAAGATGGATTGCCTAGTGGAGACAATAGACAGTAAAAAAATAGGCTAGAGGGTAGCTAGTAAGTTACTCCCATGATGTCCAGCAAGGGACACTCTCACCTTGTTCACTGACAGTTCCCTCTCAATTTCTCAGGATGGTGAGAACCCCAGAGTCTCAAAATAGTCGTAGTCGGGATAAGCAGTGAGGTAAGGGAGTTTGCTGCTGATGTCATGTTATTCAGATCATCAAGGAAAGAGCAGATTGAAGAATTCTGGAAGGCCATTGTGAGGCTGAGGTTCGGTGCTTAGTGGTTGTCATATATAAATCAAGCATTAGGAAAGACACAGATGATAAAACAGTAAATGTTGCCTTACCATGGCACAAGTTCATGGTTTCTGCTCACCTGTGCAGCTCTGGTTCTCTCATGTCAAAGAGGATGTATAATAAACTTGGAAAAGTATCAAGCAAGAGCAACAAGGATAAGCAAAGGTAAGGAATTACTTTAAATTGAAGGAATGCTTGAAAAGACTAGAAGCCTATAGGCTAAAAAAGAGGTAAATTCCCTGGAATATGATTCAGATCTCTAGGCTCAGGGGTGGCATGGAAAAGTGTGGGTAGGGGTCAGGCATTCATGTCTCTTCCAAAACAAGAATGTTACACAAAGCTCTTGGCAGTCAGTTTAGAGAAGAAGGAGATAGTTCTTCACAGAGTATGTGGCAGACTGTGGAAATTATTGCTAAAAGATGTTGTGGATGCCAGAACTCTTTGTGTTTAATAAAAAGCTGAAGTATCTGGAGGAGAACCTACATATGGAGAAATCCCATGTGCTTAGAAAATTACCTGACCTGAAAATAGTTGTAGACAGTGAGAGTACAGAGAAGGAAGTATCATATATGCTTATCTTGTTCTTTCTCTTCCCCCATTTGTGTCGAAGTCCAGATACTGGGTTCAGGGACCTTTGATCTTTCACAATAGGGATGTTCTTGTGAAACTAACACTTCCATAGAGTGCCCCAGAGGAGAGGTCTGCAGCAGCCCCTGTTGAGCACCCCAAAAGCAGATTGCTATGACAGGGCTGTGTGTATGTGCAGCATCATTTACTTTGCTTGCTCTCTGCCACAACCTCCTCTGCCTTGTTACACAGTGTGGACTCTCTTCCAGATGTTTGCATGAATCATTTGTTAAAAGATAGAAGTCTTTTATTTTTTCTTGTGGTAAAAAACTGTTGGTAGGTGTGGTGTTTGAAAATGAGGGAAAGATGTAGATCCAGTGGACTTCCTTGTCATGAAAAAGGAGGAGGAAAAAAGATAAAGCTTGTCTTTTTCCTTTTTGAAAGCTTTGGGTGCCATCTGCTGGGTTCAGTAGGACCTTACACACTGGAGCAAAATTGCTAGTTGCTGATTGAAAAATGCCTGAAGAATTGAGTTTACACAGGGTTGCAGTGTCTTTGTTTGCACCTCCTGGTTCTTTTGTCTCCGTTGATAATAATGTAACGCAGGGGTATGGGATGTACTCTAGCGCACAAAAAAGTGCCTGCTTACAGTTGCCGTTCTAAGGTACCATTCAGACTGAATTCTCTAATGATTTTCACTGTGTTTGGTCACATAATGGAGAAATTGAAGGTAATAAGGATTTTTAGGCATTGTGTCCTGACCACGTATTGCAGTAGCGGAGCCCACTCTGAGCAGCATTCAGGCTGTCTGAGGCTGCAGGAGACGAGGGGCTGATGCTGGGAGCTGGAAAAAAAGCTGTTTGTCCAGGGGCCTTGTTACTGCCTCCATTTGATACATGACAGTGGTGTATAAGAGCAAGATACAGCCCTGTATGTTGAACTGTGTGAAGGGGTGGTGTGCGAGTGTACCAGGTGGGTGAGGGTCCTTGAGGTGGGCATGGTGCCTGCTCTGCAGTTAAGGCACCTGGAGACAGTGAGCTGGCATTTCTAGGCTTGCAGTGTGAGATGTCCCTAGCTCTCAGCTTTGGAGTGCTCCAGAGCAACGTAATAGAATAGGATAGCCATGGGCCCTTCCAGAGGGCTGGAGCAGACTTCGCATATTTGTTGTCCAGGGGAGATGGTCAGCTGTGTGTTTGCAGAAAAATGGCCAACAGGGTGACCTGTGTGAGCAGGTGAGTGCAAACACACAGGGACCTGTAACACAGGGACTGCCTTGGGACTCATCTGCCACTGAGACCTCTCAAGAGCAATATCCCTTTGGTTTTTATTTCCTCACAGTTATCTCCCTGGTGTGTTCACTCTTGCTCCGTAATTTGATGATGCAGGGATTTGGCAGCAATACAGCCTTGTGCAGCCCCATCCTCTCATCCATCCCTTGCCACTCATTGTCTCCCCAAGCTACAGTGGCCCTTATCCCCATGCCCTGTGTGAGGTCATGCTGTGTACTGCTGGGTTTAAGAAACCCCAAAAGTACAGCATGATGAAATGGGTTATATTTAATCAAGAGCAGTTCCCTTTTTTTGGAATCAGAGTGTGGCCTCATGAACAGTTGGGTCAGCACAAGCAAGGGAAGCCTGATGTCTGCAGTGCTGAGGGGAGAGCAAGGGAAACATGGCTGAGGAGCAAGCCCTCTGTATTTGGCTCTGCTTTTGAACCCCGGGATCACCCAGCTGTGGACAGAGGTGTCCTCTGTGCCAGGATGTCCCAATCACCAGCAGGCATCTGTGGAGACATCTGGCACCTACAGGAGCCCAGGGCTGGCAGGCTGCTCACAGCACTCTGCACTGTGAGGGATCCTGCCATATTCTCCACCTCCAGCACTGCTCTGCTTTGAAAGGCACTTAATGATAGGTATAAACCCAGGGTCCTTGCTGCTAGGTGTAGGTACGCCTCGAGTTTTTAACTGCACTGGCTGAAAAGAGAGTGGTGTGACAACAGTGGATCCTTGGAGTGTATTTGGCTATTCTTTTGTGCATTCACGGTATTTCACTAAATGTGTACTTAAAATTTCTAAGAATATAGATAGAAATGAACATGTAAATAAGGGATAATTAAGCCTTTTTCTTTGGGTTCATTCTTTTCCTTGCATATCAAGAGATCACAGTATGTTATTCCATCCAAGTTACTAAAGACTTACATCCTTCTCTGCTGTAGCAGGGAAACCAAATTCCTTCGGAGACTTTGGGAGAATTTTCAGTCCTAGGCAAGTAGGCAGCCCAGCATTTTGATGGTCTTTGAGTTGGAAAAGTATGTCAGCACGTACCAGTACTACCTTCATCAGTAAGGGGAAGAGATCCTAACTTTTGTCCAAAATTAAAAAAAAAGGTTTAAAAATTGTATAGGTTTCTGATACAAACAAATGAAAAAGAGTATTTCTGATGGAGTTGCACTTTGAATCATCATCTATCTAGAACATATCACAGTTTTACATAACTGTTGTAAACAACAGCAAGAGTAAAGCACAATCAAAATGTATAGTAAGAAAGCTAGAACTCAGCCCAAAGAAAGGCAGTCAGTTTGGAAGAAAAATCTGTTTCAGCTCAAAGTTTATGCTTAAACAAATTTAACATACTCTTTGAAAACTAATTATGTTCAGCATTCAGTCTGGGTGCCTTACATATGACAAACCACAATGAGAAACAGACTTCCTTCCAGTGTTTATACATTGAGTGTTAGTCCTTAAACCCCAGAGCATTTGTAGACTTCATTGAACTCTAGACCACTGTTACATTTCTGTAGCCCTTGAATTCATATTACAATGCATTAAAATTAATTGAAGCAAAAGCTGCCAGTGGCAACTTATGTATAGTTCATAATCACCATGTTTTTTATATTTTCTTATACTCTGTTTTTGCTGTTGTTTTTTTTTTCAAGTCATCTTCATGTTGTTTTCCCGCGAGGTCACTGTGCAGTGCCTCAGACTTTTGTATAGTGATTTAATTTCTGTGTTTGTCTTATTTTGTGAATTAATATCTTTCAGCACCCCCAGATTCAGAAGGAGTCACAATATATCAAGTACTTGTGCTGCGATGATCGAGCAACCCTGCATCAGTGGGTAACAGGAATAAGAATTGCCAAGGTGAGATTAAAAGTAAATTTACTTAAGTATGTTATCTGTAAAATCTTGTCTTCCTCAGGTTGCTGACTGCCATCACCTCAACTGGAAATATTGTGACAAGAATGGACATTCATGCTAATTTTACCATAGAAAGATCAGAAGTGCATGATGAGGATGGATTTGCTCAATGTCCCTGTACTTTAGTTATCAGTATATTTTTCTTATTAACACAAGAGTGAGTTCAGTTGCTATAAAACTCATGTACTCATAAAACTTACTGCACAGTTATCTGGCTCAGTAATAATACCCTCTTCAAGAAGATCCTAATTGACAACCCATTTTGTTTTGCACAAAACATTAGAGATCGATTTATACATAGCCTTGGTACTGGCTGTACCTTCCTATACAGTCCTGCTTCTCTCAGCTGTTAGTTTGGGGGTTTTTTTATTCCAGTTCTGCTGCAGGGTGACATCCAGCAAAGGTATGGGGTGAACATCAAATTATTTTGTGTCTTACACTGACAGAGCTGTTTGCTCTAGAGCCTGTGATTCAATGTCTCAGGTCTCCAGTTTAAAAATGTAATACTTGGAAAAAGATTGGAAAAAGATATTTACTGAGAACTGTTGGTTTTAAAACCAAGTTTCAAGAATTTTACAAACACTGAAACAAACATAAAAGGTAAGAATGGTATCAGTAGGACTGTGTTAAGTCAGGGGGAATCATGTTTTACTGTGCCATTACAGAGATGCTTTCCACCTGGCCCTGTACAGAAAAGGGCACACCAGTTGTAGAAGGTATTTTTTAACAAAACCGAGTAGGAAGAAACAGGGTCAGAAAAGTAGGCCAAGAGCAAAATGAATGCTTGGCCTATGTCATGCCTAACACATGCTCATTTTATTGTTTTGATTGTTTTGCAGTATGGCAGAACACTCTATGATAATTACAAATGTGCAGTGAAGAAAGCTGGCTTGTCCTCCCTGTGGGCGAATCAAGGAACAGCGGAACCAGCTGCCCCTGCGGGATCCTCATCAGCAGGTACCAATGCTGTCACAGCAGCTGAAGTCACATTTATTGACCTCTTCTGTTACCATCAGTGTTGCATATAGTCTTTGTTCAGAAAACTGTCCTACTGATTCAGCAAGATAATATCTTGTTTTAGACAGGCCAGTGGTCTGTCAGCAGCAGAGCTCTCACTTTGAAGTTAGAATTTGGAAAGACAGTTCACTGAAGATCAGTTTAAATCTGCATAACTTAATAGGGTATTTTTCTGTTGGCATCTTTATCCTCTGTCTATATTTTACAGACTGATGGTCCATGTCTTGAAGCTTTCTGTTTGCCCTTCTCTACATTGGCTGTTTTGGAATTTTTCTTTCAATTAGTAAAAAGGTTTAGTGGGATATTCAGAGATTGATCACTTCAGAAAGTGATTATTACAGGATGAGCCACTCTCTTTCCTAGCCTTTCTCTCATTTGCATGGTAACAATGTGGGTGTTAAGAGAAGGACACAAGAGTAAGAAAGGATTGGGTTATTTTCTAACCTTACTTTTCCAGTAGCTTCATCATGCTGCTGTTACCAGTCTTACTATGATACAAATACAACAGTGCATGATACTAGCTGTAACTTGCATGAATGTTTTTAGTTTACATGCTTAAGATATCCTTGCTTTGTTAGGAAGGGCATGGTGGCCAAGTACTTACTGTTATCATAAGACAGTCAAAGTCAAAATCAGTGTTGGCAGTTAATATTCTGACTCCTCATGTAGACAAGATCCTCCAGTCACCTTTCTAAGCTTTCAGTTCGCCTAGTCTTAGTACATGTGAGATACAGGGTGGTCTTCCTACTGTTCCTTGGAATCAAATCATGTTAATAAATGGATTTCTGGGGTGGGAAGACCAAATAACAGACTGTTTTGAGATCAGGGGATTTTCTTATGGTTGGGGGAGGGGGTTTAGTGGAGTGAGGGTGGATGGGACAGTTGTGGAACATTTGTATTCTGGTATTGATAGCAGTAGAGAGAGGGCTGGCCAGTGGGGCTCTAGGATGATGCTGCAATCTGGAGAAGATATGGGCAGGACTGAGGCCTTATAAAGACTATATAGACATCTGTGTGACTCCAGCTCCTGACTAGAATCCATTAACACTGCATGTATTCAATAGAATATACTGCTAATTTTAACTAATGGATTGCATTAAATGGTTAAGTAGCCTAGAAAGATTTTAGTACTGTATATTGTCTCTCTGGAAATATCTCTGAAGGATCATTAGCCTTCTAATTGAGGCAAGTCGCTGTGATTCTGGCAGTCTTACAGTTATCACTGCTGCCCTGTTTAAAACCTGGGGCCCAACTATAATACTAGAACCTGAACTGCCTGACTGTGAGCAGTTGTTTGCTCATGTTTTGGAAATGGAACAAAGCATGTTTTCTTTTGTTTTCAGATGGCCCTATAGCCATTTGTATGGACTGATTTCAGTATAGGCTAAAATCTGCTATAGAAAACTACAGTCCTGTGTGAGTTTAGCAGGGGCTGTACTCTGTTAACTTCAGTGGCTGCCAAAGGAAGGCAGCTGGGACTTCTGTTCTCACATACCATGTGGCCACTATTCCCTGGACACTCTGCGGTAGCCAGCATTTGTGTGTTCACAAATACCCCAATCTGTGAAATCTGTGGTTCTGAAGTGTCCCAAGTGCCAGGCACATCTCAGGCAAAATATGTTGTTTCCCTCTCTCCCTTACTGTCTTTGGATGCTAAAAAAACAATGTATGTAGTGGTCCAGCACAATATCGTGATGTTTGAAAGATTAAAGAAGTTGCTTTATTCAGATGTTCCTCATCACTACAAGGCTGAATATTTTGCAATTGGGTATCTATATTTTGCCTTCTATTTGGACTACTTTTTTTTTCTTAAAACAAATACTAATTTACCATAAAATTTTGGAGACATTGACTTGCAAAGAATACTATAACATTTGAATTAAAAATAAAAAAGCCCGCGTGGACTCACATATTATATTGGCTGGGAGTCCATTAGCTGGCTGACTTTGTATGTGATAGCATATGTGGAGGTATGTGGCAGGAGATGATAGATCAAGTGTTGCTTTCAAGTTTTGCATTAACAGAAGAACAGATTACTGTGTCCCAGCCTTCTGGTATATCATATTTGCCAAGTAGAACATTTTGCCTTGCAGTAGATAGAGTGGATGTCTCTCTGCTCTCCTTCATTTAGTTAGATCTCAGTATGACTGAGGGCAGCAACATCTTTGAGCAGTGTGAAGACCAGACTCTTGCTCTGCTATATACAGCAGACAAAGGGAGGAGAGACAGTAACTTGCTCTACTTGTGGGCACAGCCACAGAACCCAGGGATTTACATTTCCTTCCACTGAGCACTTACAGCCACAAGGTTGGTTTTCTCTTCATTGACTTTTTTGTTAGTCCTTCAACAAACACAAGACTATAGTTTGAATGATCCAAATGGTACTTTGGATTAAATAATGCTGAACAACAATGCAGGCACAGGCACAAAATATAATGACTTCAGACCACTTCCTGTCATTCCCATGAAGCCTAAATAGCCCTAGGGACCCCTGGTGGTCTAGTGGTTAGGATGCAGCACTCACCGCTGCGGCCCGGGTTCGATTCCCGGTGAGGGTAAAAAAAGTCCCCCGGGCAGATGGAGCTCGTCAGCCCTGTAAGGCAATCCATCTAAGAGAAGGTCACTCTAAACAAACCTACGTCCTGGGGACCTCGCTGCCACTGTCCAAGCTTGCTCGGCCCCGGCAGATG